AAACTACTTAAACTGCGTTTTCATAAAGCTCTAATAATTATCAAACTTAACTCAAGTATGCTGAGACTTGTCGAAATGCTACCAAGTCGTTTCGACTGCCCACTTTCATCTGTGCGTAGCCACTTGAGCCTCAACGTGGGAACTAAACAGCGCTCGATATCTATGCGTTGCAATATATATGCGATTGTTCTGGCTGTCAAAATATTGAAGGCAAGCCGAGCTGAGGAGAATCTCGTTTCAAATGTGCCGCACAAATTCGCAAACTCATCATCATCGAAATTGAGAAGCGTGGAGAAGGGCGTCAAATAGAAAATAGATAAAACAGAAGCCGAAAGAAAGAAATGTAACAAAAAACACAAATACAGAAACGCACCGACTGATGGAACTTCCCACCTTTCTTAACTAATTTGCCAAGGTTGAACGATGCGAGAACAATGTGGCCAAATGTTAATGTCTTCTAATTGCTACAAGCCACACACAGAGTGAGAGAGAGAGAGAGAAAGAGAGAGAGGGAGAGGCGGCGGCGGCTCTTATGTGTCACCTTAATACGATTTCGAAGTTCGTCCACACAAAAACTTGTCAACTCGTCATCGTTTTTGGCTTTGCGTGTGGCACAAAACTCCCCATCAACTGCCCTCAGCTCCTACTGTTTGGTTTGGGCTGCCTGGACAATAATGCTGTGTCGGCATCTTGGGAAAAATGTCGCACACGTCGTTGTCGTAGTCGTTGTTATTCTCATTCTCATTCTCATTGTCATTGTCATTGCTATTGTGATTGTGATTGTCGCATAGAGTTTGCCTTATACTCTGCACTCATTGTCACCTGAGCATTCGGTCTACTCCCGAGTCACTTAGAGGCTCTGGCCGCTGCCTTTTAATCGCACATCCTACCCACATCTTTGCTTGCTTTGCCGCTCGATTTGCTTTCATTCGAAACTCATTTGGCTGCACTTGCGCATCCCTAAAGTGTTTTGCCAGCAACAATTTAGCCCTCGCTTAGGTGGGCTCGTCGCTTCCCTGCTTCCCCTGCTTCTCCTGCACACATTGTGCTCACATTGTTCGACTTTGCGCAATTGTTTGCGCTCAATTGCCAAAAATTGTTTGAAGCCTTCCGTCGTTGCTTTAAGGCGCTCAGCCCGAATCTGCCTGCCTCTCGCTCCTCTCCCTTTTTTTAGGCATCTGCCCTTGCCTGTTGGGTTTGTGTGCGGTCCTTGCCTGGGAATCGCTGCAGCTCAGAAAACATTGCATTTTCGGCATCGACTTTGCATACACTTAAAATGATGTGCACTCGACGCCCCGCCGCTAACGTCGCTGACTAGACCAGCCACCAGCACTGCACAGTGGTACAAAGCACAATTGTTCAATTTATATTATAGCAGAAGTTTAAATTTGTTTGTTAATGAAATTGTTTAAGTTATTTCTAGATTTATGTATATGCCTTAATTTACAATTTATAAACTTCATTAGAAATAAAAATTATAGTCTATTAGGTATTTCTCAATAAAAAATATACATTTATTTTCATTAAAGATCACAGAAATTAAATTTAATAATTACATAAATTTTTATTAAATGCATATTTTATTATTATATTTGTTTTTATTAAGATTTCGACTTTACATTAATTATATGTCTTTTTTAATATATTAAAAATTTATTGAACTTCAATCTGTATCACTGCTCAAATTCTAAATATTCATACAATTTATAAAATTACTATTTTATTTAAAGACCATTTTCACCTCATGAGCCATAAACAACTAGCTACACACTTCTATATAGTATATATATATATATATATATATATATATATACGGTCCTATATCTCTTCATGTCCCAATCTTCTAAGATAATCTTAAATAACTTTTCATATTCATATCCTATTAAATTCTGAGAAGAAACATGATTCACTCTAAATTAATATTCAAATCATATTTTCTTAAAACAGATATGAAGATCGGATGTAAATCTAGCCTCACTGTCTTAAATTTTCTATATAGTATATATATTCCATGCTCTCCATATCATTGCTCTATCTGATGATCAATAAATATATTTCGCCCCACTGTACGGGGTACAGGGTACGCATGCATATACACACACATGGTAGCACGCACGCACGCACGCACTTTGTGCCACTGTGGCTGCAGCTGAAGCTGAACTGTTTTGCATGATTGACTGTTTGACATAATGAAACGCATGCAGAAACAAGCAGGCGAGGCGTAGCGAACGAGCAGGAAGAGGCCAAGTAACCAGATTTTGGATGCCCACGCAGCGTTGTTGCATTTGCAGTGGTAGTAATCATAGTTGTTGTTGTGGTTCCTGTTGTTGTTGTTGTTGTTGTTGATACTAATCAAGTGCATTGCTGCTTGGAGCAGTGGGTGGCAATCTGTCATTCAGCTGGTTGCCGTATTGTGGTTTTTGCCAGCTGATTTTCTTTTATCAACGTTGAAACAGACGGCAGTCTATGATTGCAAACGCTCATCGCTGTCATTGTTGTTGTTGCTGTTGCTGTTGCTGAGGTTGCTGCTGCTGCTGTTGGGCCTTCTAATCAGTTAGTGCACCGAGCACAAGGCAGAAAGTTGGTCAGCGGTCGGTCAGAGCGGCTAATGAAAATGAAAATCTGTGTCAATGCGCATTGTTTGCATATCGCACAGCACTCTTGCTACCAAAAATTGTGTGTTAACTACAGTTGAAGTTCGATATTGAGTTCGCCATTGAGTTCGATATTGAGTTCGAGTTCGAGCTGTGTCAACAGCAAAGAACACTCTTTGGAGACTTTTCATTTTCTCAATTTTCTTTTGTTTAGCATAGAAATTAACTGGCGACACGCTCCGGTGTTGGGTGGGCTCTGCTGGTTGCCGCTCAGGTGTAGGCAGCGGTGAATCACACACAACACTTCAAAGAGCATATGACAGGCATTTTTCGTCGTCGTCGTTGTTGTTGTTGTTGTTGTTGTTGTTGCTGTTGTTGCTGTTGGTGTTTTCTGTCACTTTACTCGCTTATGTGTGTGGGCTGCTCAAAAGCCAGTTCCAGTTCCAGTTCGCGACGAGACTATTAAAGACAAACGCCCACCGTTTGCCAGGTCTTGAGGTCTTCAGAGCGAGCCGACGAGCCGCATGTGACTGACATGCATTTTTCTTTTCTTGAATTTCGACTGACACTGAAGTGATGAAAGTGTTTCACAATCAACTAAGACACTGCAGGCGGCAGCATCACAGGTCACAGCCCAGCCACCAGTTGAGAACGACCAGAGAATACCCTGTAGGCAAACATATACACTAAAGGTCAATTGGAAAGATTTGAATGAAATACATTTTGTTACATACAAAATATAAATGAAGTAAATTAATATAAATTAATTCAAACCACAATATATATAAAGCTTTCATATTTAGCATAGAATATTTGAGATGAATTGGAAATTAAATGGATTATTGGCTAAAATTACCTGAACTATGCCCAGATTATACCCAATTTTACTCATATCAGGGTACAGGGTATGGAGTACCAAAATATAGTCACACATTGGCACACACACACATCTCAGACACCCACACACACACACACACACACACAAAAACACAGTATAGGACGCCCTGAGGTCTGCCGGCGCACAGCTAGAAGCAAAGTGAGAGTAACCCAAAGTGCCTGTTCATCATACGCAGCCACGTCCTGCTCGGGGCGTCACTAATTTGTGTCACATTTCCTTTTGTCCTCTCGTGCATTTGCTACACTTGTTACACGGTTCACACGCCGCATGCCTTACATCTTCCGGCCGACGTCTTCTGGCCTTTGTTTGCGTTTGTCTTTTTGGCAATGATTTTTTTTTGCGGTAGGTCGACATCATCGATCGAGCGCTCCGACTCTCGGCCATTCATCAATGCCGCCAGCCATCTCTAATTGCCGATTCGTTACGAAAATGTGTGCGACTACTAGACAATCGTCCAGCCAGCCGCTGCGGCACCCACTCTCTGAAGATGACACACTGTGTGGGCGAACTAGCTTCCGCATATTAGGACAGACCCAAGCTGTAATCCCAGCAGCCAGCTCTAGCTGATATAGCGCTCTGCAGTTGCTGAATGTATGAAGAAAGAATCGTTAGTTTAAGTTTAAGTTAAACTAACGATTCTTTCTTTAAATAGTAAAATATTATATCTTATCAGAAATAAAATTTTAGTTTTAGTTCAATTATTATAAATAAAGATAAATATATTTTATTTCTTATAAAAAAAAAAAAAAACAGTTTCCACTTTATATAATGCATTTTTAAGTTGAATATAAATCTGATTTAGTTCTAATAATAGATAAATTATTTTACTATTTTTGTATTACTTAAAGCCCACGTCTCTTTATATTTAAAAAATATTTTGTCTGTGTAGAAATTTTTCTATTTATTAAAAAAAAAAATAAAATAAAAAAAAAAAATAAAAAAAATTTATTTAGAGACTGCTATAATTTATTTTAAAAGATTAAAGGTGCTTATACACCACAAATAATAGTGAAATAACTCAGTTTCAGCAGTCAGGCTTGGCTTACTCGTACTTTGTGAGGGGCTGCCGTATTCTATTGAAACATCAGAGGTCCAGATCATATTCTATATAATATATTGCATTAAATTTGACGCCAGACTGAATAGAATGGATTGGAGAATATTCCAATGCTGACTAGATGGTAGTAGCTCAGTAATATATGTATATGCATACATCAATATATCATCAGTGCGGAATTCTTGTCTGACAGCATTCTATCAGATTACCAATAAAAGAGCTGCACGTGATTCACTCAATTCTCCATTACTTAAATCCACAGTAAATGCAGCGATTCCCTATCAACCAACACTACTAAACTAGTCAGAATTAAAATACTTCATCATGCTGGCTTATCTTCAGCTGTGGGCACAGGCTGGTCCATGATTAAATGCATAATTCACTTGCGAAAGAGCAGTTCCCTATGCTTAGCCATGCATACAGTAGTTGCCAAGCACCAACTGCAACTGGCCCGGCAAGCGAAATGGGAATGGCGGTGCTCGGGTTTCAGAAGGGGGCTTCACCCACTCGGCAGGGCAGTTTAATGTGCATCGGCGAACGCTTTTGGCCATGATTTGGCGTATGCCATTTAATCGCAGATAACAGCAACACCTGCCGCCGCTGTTGGCTCCTGCAGCGCCAATAAACCGATAAAGAACAGCCGCGATGCGCGCACTTCCTGTTTGGGAGGCCTCGTCGCTAGACCTGGTAGCCGGCCAGGCCTTCGCCTGGCTTAAATCAAAATCACTGCAGCAGCAGCTCAAATCGAAGTCCAAGTCCAATTCGAATGCGAAGGCGAAGTTGATGGCGATCCGGCTGCGTCTGCTGCTGGCGCACAAAATTAATTAAGTTGACTTCTGGCATTGGCAATGGACTGACTCTCTCTCTCTCTCTCTGGCAGCGGAAGTCGTCTGTTATGTTCTATTTGGTTTTTCCGTTGTGCGGAAATTATGAAAAATGAACGGCCAGCTAACGAGCAGTCCGCGCTATACATACATATTACACATACATAAATACATATCGTACACAGCGCGCCGCCCAATCAGCCGCACATGTTGCAGGCGAATACTTTGCTGAGCTTGAAGCGAGCGTGGGCGGCGAGTTTCAGCACACACAATTGATGAATTGTTAAGGCGCCTTGATAAATGGAGACCCAGTTGGCAAAACAAACAAAAGCAGTTGCTCGACAGCTGTGTGAGGTCCCCAATTCGAAAAGTGCTCCACTAATCACTCATTAAAGAGCCGACAGACAGAGAGACAGACAGACACACACACCTCAAATGCAATCAGCTTTTGTCTGGCATGCACCTCGAAAATACTCAAATGTCAACTGTCTGCGGTATCAACGACTTTCCTATCTCTGTATCTCCGTTACCAACAACAGCAACAGCAACAGCAACAGCAATAGCAACAACCAACAGAATTCTGTCCACTAAACTGTCACTGACAATTGGGCACAATATTGACAGACAGTTGAAATTCTTTTTTTTTTTTTAAGTCGAAACGAATCGCTTAGATTTAAGATTACAACACATTAACCTGCTGTCAATGGGCCATATCTAGGGGCACGGCTCGCCTTCGATTCCCCAAAGGGGGAAATGACTCTCAATGTTTGGCAAAACAATTGTAGTGCTGAGTAGAAGTCATGACTGGGCTGCAGCTTGTAGAGATAAGTGTTGGAATATAGCAGTATATAAGGCAAATAGTTCTCAAAAGTGTTGGAAAGTTGAGTAAGTAGGTACAGTGTTGGAAAGTGGCATTTAGAAAACCAAATAAATACATAAAAGCTAAAAATGAATGTTAGATAAAACTTGGTTGTGCTGGAATGTATAAGCGAGGAATATATTTTACAGTGTTGTTAAGTACAAACGAAAAATGTTAATAGAAGTGGAGAGTATGTGAATTTGACAGATAGATAATAGAATTTGTAGGGCAAGAGCTCAGCTGAGTTTCAGCTGAGTGTTCAATTCCATCCAACTGAGAGCAATTGAAACGCAATGCATCGAAGGACTAGATAAACAGAAGAACTTGTTTAAATAGAGATTTTAAACTGGTGAGCCCATCAACCCTTATAAGTAATCAATTAATTAAAGTAAACTGTAAGATAATAGTAGTAATACTCTACGAAAATCCCAAGGCACAAGTTGTCAGTGCTTAATTCTCTAGTTAACTTTATATGAAGTCCAATCGAGAATAAAAAATTGGTAAATATAGAAATGATTTTTAAAATAAAAATAAAAACAAAACTAAATGTCTACTTTTTATAAAAAATAGAAAACCCCTCTATCAATCCTGTACAAGCATATCTCAGTATCTCAACTCTATTAAGCCCTTTTGAGTTGACTTTTTTCACACTTAAATAGAGACCATGTTTGGGAGCTTCTCCGAGCCCGTTTTATGCCGATATCGTAAATCAAATCGAGAGGCAACCCCCAACAAAGTGCTTTCGCTTGTTGCTCGCATCTTATCGCATCGGGCAGCAGATAGGCTCGATGGGTGTTACCAGGCTTTGGTGTTTGGGGCGACACGCACCGCAATTCATTCACGAAAGTAACACTTGTAATAAAAATTAAAATCAAATTCGATTTTTATGATGGACGCACACCACAGCAATTGCAGCCAGATGACAGTGGGGCCACAACTTTGTAGCTGCATAAAATGAAGTTTTAAAGCCATCATTAACATTATCAGTGGGACCTAATATAGTCGGAGTCATAGATAAAAGAGTGCGAACAAAGACAGCGCGGGAATGAGATAGAGAGAGTGAGAGTGGGGGATCAACGTTTCAACTTTAACTTTCCTTTGACGCCCCACCAAGCGGACGGCTGGCTTTTTTTCGGTCTCTTTTTACGAGCTCGAATTAAACGCGATTTGTGAGCTGGGTGTTCGACATTTGTTGTGGCTCGTTGGCTCTGTGTTTAATTAAAAAAGTAAAATCGGGTTAAGTATTAAGCAAAAGCGCAGCATGAGCATCGCAGGGGCCTGGCCAAAATCTCGACGGCGACTGCCATTAAAATCGCGTAAATCTCGGGCCTACATAGGGCCATCAAATAAAAGTTCATTAGCTGGGCATAAAAAATAAGTAAACCAAAACTAAAACAACAACTCAAATCAACTCGCAGCAATTCGGTATGAAAGTGTTGCTTAATTTGTAACTAGACTTTGCCACAATTTTATTTTCATCTGTCCGTCTCTCTGCCTGTCTGTCTAACAGCTTTGGCCAGCCCACAGCGAGGCATTTGGCAATGTTTTTCTGGTCCAACACCAGCTGCCGATGCCAAAAAATTATGCTCGCTGCCAGTTGGCCAACAGACCAAACTGCAAGCAGCGTCTCGGTTTCGGCCAAATCCAATTTGCAATGCGTGTCACCCTCGCTCGGGCTGGAACGAAATGCCAGCAGGACAAACGTAGAGCGTGAAAATCCTTTTGGGGCACACACATACTCATACACACACACACAGGCAGGCACACCACAGAGCTGTGCGTATTGGGAAATTTCAAGTGTGAAAATTGCTTATGTCTCGGCATTCGCATCTGCAAAATGTGTGTCTAACGACTGCACAAAAAAAAAAGAAATGTGTTCAAGAAAAACCTCAACAATCATTGAAATTCCTATACAATTTTTGACTGTGCACTGCCAATTTCCTAATGCGATTAAACCGACTGAAAACTAAAGGTGCAACGCATAGCAAAATGTGTTGGATATTGAAATAAATGTTTATGAATATATGTACTTATACTTGTTTAAAATAGATGTAAAGTCTACATTTTAGAGTAGGAAAAGTTTTGAGATACTTGTAGATAATGCATAGATAATACATTTTTTGATAAATTTTAATGATAAAACTAATGTTAAATTATGTAGATCAAAGAGTTTGTGAAAATTCCTATTAGCATTCAAATTTTATACTTAATTTATCAACGTCTTCTCTGGTTCATTGCAGTTTTTAAATAATTCACATTACATCAGACCCCGCCTGGCCTTTCGAAAAATTAGGTCACGTTGTGGCCATGCAGCGGCTGCTGCTTTAATCACATTTCAATTCACATACAAAAAAATTAAATCTAAATTAAAGTCAAATTTGTGTTTCGTTTTTTACTATTTTTATTGTGGCGGTCAGGTAAGAGATGCGGACCACACCTTTAGCACGTTTTGCTGGAAACCAAAAAATAAAAGAAACAAAAAAAAAAAACACCAACGAAACTGCGACTGAACAAAGCGTTAAAAATGTATTAAGCTTTTCATAACTCACACAGAGCAAATGTTAATGAATGCTCCCCGTTGCGTTAATGAGTCAAAGCGCTGAAATTATTTGCATTCACTTTATGGCACTCAATGAAACTAAATTAAATTTATTTACACGCCACACAAAACTTTATGAATCGACTGACAGTTGCAATTAACTATAAAAAGAGCAAAATTATTAACTTTTATATGCAGCTAAAAAAAGTTGTAGAAAATACAAAAATTAACACAAAAAAGCGAAGCTAACAAAATATCAATAACAATTTACAAATGAAATGAGACTAAACCAAAAAGAACTCATTTTTTATTAATAATAAATATATATTGATAAAAATGTAGATAGATATTATATATACTATGCGCACAGTTATTAAGGGTTAATTAAAAGCCAACCGCTATGATTGATTTTTCAGTTAATAACAGTTACACTTAGTTATGTAGGATTTTTACGAGTTTTGATTAAAGATAATTGTAAAAGCCATCATTGTATGAAGAATTTATATTTGCATACATATGTAAGTTTCTAAAGTAAAAATATAGATATCATATCTTATTTATTTATTATTATTATATCATTATTTTTATTGTCTATTATTTATAAAAAAAAAAATAAAAACAAAATTAAAAAAACATATTTATTTTAGTACTTTAAATAAATAATATTTATATATTTTTCTTGTATTACTTAATTTATTTTATTATTATAATTTGTATTACATTTTTGTTGTATATTTTTTAGTTTAATTAAATTTATCATTTTAATTTTTATATTTTTTTTGTTGTTTACCCTAAAAAATCTCTTCCAGCAGCTATTAAATAAAATCTAATTATTGCTCTCAAGCGAACAGCGTCTCATTCAATTATCATAATAATAATTCAATATAAAAGATACTCTAAATAAAAATCAATTATAGACTTAACTTAAATACAATTTATTTATTCCGATATGCCAATTTAGATAGCAAGCTCGATTTAATATGCATTGGATCATTGTATTGGGCAATAGCAAAAAATAATGCGAAAAACTGCTGCAATCTGGCCAGATGGGGGGAAAAATCATTTGGCCTGGCATAATTTCCTGTTGGGCAAAAGCGCAAAATTTATGAGCACACAAAATAGCGCAGATACCGAGCGGAGTCCAAAAACATGATCAATTATAGTGCGAAATGCAAGAAATATGGCTGGCCTAAACAAATGAGCCGAGTGGGGCAGTCGGAGGAGGGAGCGAAGTTGCGAACTGCTTTACCTGAGTTGCATTTGTTTAGATTGCGAATTGTGGGCGCGGTTCATGTGAGTAATTCATTTATGCCATTGGCAGCAGTTGGCCTGGTCTAGATGACTGGCTAGCCGGCTGGCTGATTAATCGCGGCTAGTTACGAGCGGCAATTGCAAAATTAGCCATAGATAGCCGCACCAAACTGCAATCCACATACTTGCCACAGTTTTCAACACCTACGTGAGGCAACAGCAGCCGCCAAGCGAGCCATGTGCAACAATTATGCAAATGGGCTCTGTGTGTGAAAACAATGCAGAGAAATCATTACGACGACGCAAATTAATTACCAACTGCAACAGCAACAGCAACAGCAGCAACAGCAACAGCAATAGCAATAGCATTTGCAATATGTATTTCAAAAACAATACGTGAAGCTAAGCTCCTGCCACACGCGTGGGCGTGCCAGCCCGAGTTGAGAGTGTGTTTTGTGTGTCACGCTAATGAGACAATTGCAATTGCTGTTCGCTGTCATTAAGATGCAGCTTAGTTTCGTTTTGGTAGTTGTCGCAGTCAGCACAACTCCCCCTGCCGCCTGCCCCCCGCCCCCTAGCCACGCCTGCTGCAGTTCCTGGCCATGCAACATGTCGGACATGGCAGAGCACAACTACTTACAGCATGCAACTTGTTGACGTGCACACTGACTGACCCAATTCTCAGCAAACAGCATTGTCATCGCTTGTGGTAATGTGACATAAGGTGCTGCCAATTACACTGCACAACAAAGTAATTAGTTATAGCAGAGCTGCGATCAAACTGCATATGCAAAAGTGTAACTTCTGGCAACATAGAAGCTTTCTATAAAAACTTAAAATAGTGTTCGAGCTGTATACCAGAGGAATAATGCTTGATTATTTGTTATATAGGCTGACCAAGTAAAATTGAAGCTAATACTTCTTCTATTGAATTATAATTTCTTTCTTGTTGCTATTTGAATGTAAAGTCCATGCTACAATGTATTATCATTCATTCGCTCGAGTTGACATCGAGCCTATTCTGATGGAAGATCATATTTTCTATATCTATTTAAATATTGGCCAATACACTTGCAGATCTCCTACAACAAACTTTATATGGCTATTGACTTAAAAGCCACAAGAGTAGAAACTTCGCGCTTTGCAATTGTCCCACAATTTGTCATGATGACTCTCGACTTTACAACACAATTCGACAATCAACTGAGCCCCATTTTAGTAAATTTTTAAAATCACTTCCACATATTTAGCACACGTAAGCTGAGTCATTATCTAATGGCAAATCTGATTAATTATTTTAGCTGCTGCATGTTATCAGTGTCTTAGATAATTGCGAAAGTTTTGCTAATACAAATAGTATTTTTCTTTCTTGCTCAGCGTCCAACAAACAATGATCATAAAAATATTTTTGATTAGATTTTATGGGAAATAAAAATATACATGAATAAAAAAATATGATTTAAAATAATCATATTGTTCATAGATAATTATTAAATTACAATTTATTTTATTTTTATTATTTTTATTTTTATTTATTTATTTATATATTTTTTTTTAATTTAAAATTTACTTTTAGATTATTTATATAATTTATAATAATATATAATGTACATAGATAATTATTAAATTAATTAGCATTTAATTTGGAGACTCTATTATTATTGTTTTTATTAATTAATATTTATTTATTTTAATTGTATTATTTTTTTATATACTATTTTTATTTTTTATTTATTTATTTATTATTATTTTTTTTTTTTTTTATTTAACTTTTTTAGTATTCCGATGTCTTTAAACACAGTAGGTATTTCGTTTTGTTGAGCAGTGTTAAATGAGCGTGATTATAATTTAAATGAATGTTCCACATGCCTGCTGGTGTTTGTCTATCTCCGCAAAGTTTGCATCTTAATTTGTTAAATGTCTTACTCCTTATGCAGTTGTTGGGGTTTTTGTTGGGCTGTTTTTGTTGTGAATCGCCTGACTGTCTGGTCTAGTTAGGCAAATGTCATCATTATTTTTGCCAATATGCACTTAGCGTTTTTATGAACACGAGAGAGGCGAGGGAGACGAACAAGCACCAGCAGCAGCCAGCTAATCGACATCTCATATTGTTGCCAGCTGCTGCTGTTGCTGCTGCTGTTGCTGTTGCTGTTGCTGTTGCTGGTGATGCATGTGGCACGCAATTGCCATTGTCTGTGGCATATCCTTGGCCATTGAACTTGGCCGTGTTGTGGAGCGTTTCGTGACAGACTCTCCGTTGACCGTTGGCTCGCATAGTCAAAAATATAATAAATATAAAAAGAAGAAGAAGAAGAAGAAGAGAAAAAACCTACTCAGTCATCATCAATGCTTGTTTATATTTTGTAGACATTCTTCCGTTTTTCGAGACCTTTTTGGTCAGCAATTGACGACGCTTGACGTCTTAATTTTTTCTGGCTGCTGCGTTGTCAAGTTGCCAAAGCACTTCAAATGAAAAACTTCATCACAACAACTCGAGTCAGAGTCGGACTCAGAGACTGGGACTCTGGATAATACACTGTGGCACTGTGAAGTGCATGTGTGTGTGTGTGTGTGACTGTGTGTGTGCGTCTTCTACTATACACTTGACGGCGTCTCGCTGCATACATTGGTTTTTGGTTACTTCCCATTAATTGCAATTGCGTGTCTAAAGCTTGGACCATTGTTTGTTTGTTTGTTTCGTTTTGTGAGGCTCGGTTTGGCTGCTGCCAATAATGCATTCTGCTTCCTCTTCTTGCCATCTATACAAATAAACATTGATCTTGAAAAATTATATTTACCCAACTCATCAGCAAGCGTCATCAGGCGACGCATCAGTCACTGTTTTCTTTGCTGATTGCCACGCAGATGCCACTCGGCCAACTCTTTCCTCGCCCAACTCTTCGTGTATTGAACTACTCCTCATTTTCGTTTCGTTTTTCGTTTTTGCAAGGTGTTAATATTTGCTTATTAAATACGAGACGTTTTTATGGGCTTTGTGTAAACAGGGCGCATATGCTTAATGAGCCCAATCACGTTAATTTCTTGTGCAAATATTTCAGCCGACAGCAGAGCACAGCTCGTGCGCAAAGCTTCCCCACCTTTGACTCTATTATGCTGCTGACAGGTGCTTGCAGCTCAACAAAAAGATAATGAAATGATCATATACATTTAATTGAGTATGACGACGCTTAAACCATATACATATATGTACTTGCAAATGCAGCTGAAATAGTTTATGAGAGGCAGGGTACAGAACTTGGAAGTTAAACTAAAATAAAACGTAAATGTAACGAGATCATTCAGAATAAAATATATAGAACACATAGCTAATAATAAATAAGCATTCAGTATTTACCACGAGTCTATAATTTTTTATGAAAATCAGCGCATAATATTTATACAAAATCCCTTTTCCCAAATGGCTCGAAGTAAATGGTTTTACTACTTGTTCCTTGTTTGTTGTGTTCTTGTAATCGAGACCCACTGACTAACTAACGTGCAACAGCAACAACTCCAGCACTGATCTTGTCTATGAGCAGCAACCACAAACAAAAGGAAAAGCAACAAGAACAACAGCAAAGAATAGGCAAAAAGCAAAAATGCGGTAAATATCTGCAACCAAGTTTAATTTTACGATTTTCTTTCCATTCTTTGTTGCTGTTGTTGTTGTTGCTGTTGAAGCCGAGCCGCTTGAAGCACGTGAGCGAACAACACACACCCCCAATACATAAACTGCAACTTGTTGCACAACAACAACGACAACGACAACAACAACAATGCCGTGTTGACTACGTCATCGAAGTGGAAAAATCACTTCCGCGTATGTGACCAAAGCGAAGCAGCAGTCAAAAGAATATTTTTCGCTTGGCATTAGAAGCGAGTGAAGAAAAATTTGTGTAGAAAATTCAGTTTTTGCCATTTTCCGCTGTGGCGGGCAAAAAGAAAATGTAATGCGAATTTAAAATGTTGTCGATGATAATCTATTAATTATAGCGTCCAGCTAACGGCAGCCCAAAAGGTGTTGAGCGGACACCAAATCCATGCCGAGACTGAAGCTCAAGTTCAGCGGTTGTGTAAACGGTTTTCTGCTGCCCTTGCAACATTCAGAGGCGTATATTGGCTTCGAAACGAGCAATGGTTTTGCCTTGGCGAGCTGCTTTAAGGCGAATTGAATGAATTTTTAACTCTGACAGAGTATTACACAGTCGGATATCGCTCTCTGCTAGCGCATTTCTTTTCGTTATTGCTAGAAAGCCTTGGGCACACGCACCTACTGACAGAATTCTAGTTATGAAATTTGAAAATATTTAAGAGTATTCCGGCTGGGAGCATATTAGCTAAGATTTCTGGCTAGGGAATACATGTTTAAGATAATAAAAATAATAATTGAATTAATTATTTAGCATGCAATCAATGTATTAGTATGCGTAGTATTGGCTGTTATTCAATAAATATAACATTTTTCATAATACTTTCTAATTTAGTTAGATAAGAAAAATTGTATAAAATAATAAATAGTAATAAGAAATAAATTAATATCAAAATATATGCATATACCAAATTTGTTAACTTAAAATTACTAATTCTTGAATCTCTTATATTTTCAACATAAAAATCATTTCTAAAAAAAAAAAAAATTCGCTATAAGACATATTTTAGTAATTATTTTGAAATGAATATAATTCAAATAATAATACTGAATAAATTGTGCTTAAATAATACATTTTTAATCAGGAAAAATACAATATAAAATATTGTATTGTTATTAATTTTTTTAAATAAATTTTTTAATATTTTTCTCTTTGCATGTAAGCACATTGAATATTCGCTGTTAAAATCATTGCCCGTTTTTCTCGTTTCTAACTGTATGAAGTAACGCCCCTCAGCAACACCTAGACGAGCACCAGCACCGACACCACCACCGGCAACAGCAAAGCAACAAAACAGAAACAGCAACAGCAACAGCTAAGTCAACGGCAATGGCAACTGCAACAGCAACAGCAACAACAACAGCAAATTCAACACTCTGGCAACAACTTGTCTAGCAACATGGCCAAGCAAATTAAGTTGGCACTCTTTAATAAGATGATGATGGTTCGGCTTTGATATATCAGCGCATCGCGACGCTGTCCGTTGCCTGAGCCTGACTCTGTGTGGCTCTCAGTGTCTGGCTGATTGCCTGGCCAGCGTGCCGGGGCGTTACAGCAACTATTCTAACTCTCTGCGCAACAGGCCACAAAAAGGTGTCGTGCGCTTTGCTGTTGTTGTTGTTGTTGCTGTTAGTGTTGCTGTTAGTGTTGCTGTTGTTGCTGTGTGGCGAACGGCATTGACAGATTGCAACTGAGCGTGAAAATAGTTCCCATGTCTGGGCTAGTTGGCTATTTTCCTAGCTATATACACAATTTGTGTGCTGCTGCTGCCTTTGCTGTCGTTGTTGTTGTTGTTGTTGTCGTTGTTGTCAGTTCTAATGCGCGTTGCTTACTTGCCGTTATTGCTGCTGACCAGCAACAGTTGTTGTTGCTGTTACTCGACAGTCATTATATGGAATTTTTTTGGATATATCATCTTTCGGCTCTGACGGACTGGCTTACATGCAACACGAAGCGCCCCACACCCCACGCCTGCCGCCTCCTCCCGCCTCATTTGCTGCTGCCGGCGGTTAATTTTTGCAGCCACTGCTGCTGTTGCTGTTGCCTGGTGGACACGTCTGCCAAAATGTTTCGTTTTATTCTGTTTCGGCAAGAGCAACAGCAACAGCAACAGCAACAGCAGAGAGCCGAGTACTTTTGCTATCATTGCAATTTATCACGGAACGTCGGCGTGGCGGTCCTTTTTGCCTTTTGCCTTCACCCCGCGTCCCCGCCCCTCGCGGACGGGCTTGTGTGAGAAGTGTGCGTACGTGTTGCTGATGCGCCGCTGCTGATGAGGCTGAGGAGATGAGGCGAGCCGCGACTCTCAGCTTTCGACTCTGGGCTCACGGCGCTGTTGCGCTGTTGTGCTGCCCACTAACAAGCATTGCCCACTAATCATAAAAATTATGAGGTCGTTGGCGTTGGCAGCGCTGCCATTTGACACATTTTCAAAGTATTTTTTGAGCTATGCTAAAAATAATTGCGAAAATCAATTACGCTTATCAGGCTGTTGCGAGAGGGTCAAGCTGGCTAACACAAACTGCCTAAGCCAATGGGCATGTATCACACACACACTCACACACTTGCACACACATATCCATACACATAACACTTAAGTGTATCTCTATAGAGACAATCAAGGGAAGGATTGTTAACAATACTGTTGCACAGTGGTTCGCAATCGATATATTTAAGATTCTTAATGAACCTCTCTATGAAAATAAACAAATTGATCTTTCATTTAAAAATATATAATATAATAACATGGTAAATGAAAGTGTATTAATATAATTATGTGAACTAATTGTTCAACTAAAATTCTCTTGCGAATGTCTACGTTTCTTTATGTATTCACAGTAAACTGTAAAATTTTTAGATAATTATATAAATAAACAAAAATAGAGGCGCTGTAATTGATGAAATATTAATCTTTATTATAAACATAAATTGTTAATATTATTATGTGAAATTATAAATTATATTATTTAAGTTTTTTATTTCTACCCGTTTATTCCACTTTCTGATATGAGATTAAACGGCTATAAATGATATAGAAATTTTATAAATAAATAAATATAGTTTATAAACGTATAATATAGTTAAAATTAAAATATATACATAAATAAAATAATTCAAAATCTTTTTAACATAATAAAAAGGTTTAATGCATATAATAAATTAATATAAATACTTGTTCACTTTAAAGTTTTTGTTTATTTATTTAGAATTTTTGTTATTGATATATTGGGAAATCCACCGAAAATATATATAACATAATAATTATTTATGAGAATCTTAAAACTCGAAATATTCTCATATTGCTCAGATATACATATGTATATTTTTATTACTATTCAAAAATTTGTACATATTATTATAGATATAGGAAATTGATACACATGAATTTATTAGTTATTGGTGCTATATATTCTCTCTTGAATTTCTCTATTTTATAGTACCATCATATCATATCATATCATATCATATATGCGCACATCCCACTGTGTGAACCCACTGTGCATTGATAATTTATGTTACGCATCAGTTACCATACTTTATACGCGCTCAGATAGTGCACTCATTCGCATTCGCATTCTCATTTCGCATTCTCATTTGGAGATTGCGTTGGTCGCGAAACTTAACTCGATTTCATTTCCTTATCATTATCACCTTGGCCCCGAACACGGAGCGCGGTCGCTCCTCGCTCGCCTGGAACTGGAGAACAGAGCAGCGAGATTCGCGTGTATATATTATGGACCAGGCTCTGGCTGGCGGGCTGGCTGGCTGGCTGCACTTGCCTTATCTCAGTTGGCCTTAACGTAATTCAACATTTAATCTTGTCTCGGTTCTTAAGTGTCTGCCACAATTTACGCGCTGAACCCGATGGCTCTCACAGCTCCCAAGGTTGGCCACACTTGATTTGTGTTCTGGCTTCCTTCCATTTCATTCTGTTGCTCCCCCCACTCTTTTTTTGGGATATTCAGAATTTTTGCGAATGGCTAATACTAAGTTTTACACTTGTTACACTCTGGCTGCAACAGGTATTCCTACCTATGTCGTCGTCGCTGTAAAGGGCACGCGCCATTGCCTGATTTATGGCCTTTCAATGGCCTTTCGGCCGTAGTCCTCGCCCGGACTGCAGTTCCGGCTAAGTCAAAACGTCAGCAATCGCTAGAGGCATGACAAATCGACTAAGCCCTATGCCCGGTCGGCTCTGCTCCGTCCGCACCTAGACCGGGCCACTCATTAAGCGCGTCGCGACACACGCTGCCCAGGAGGTGTCCGAGTCGAGGCTCACAACTTTTCCTAACAGAAATGAAATGTGGAAAAACTGTTTCTAGTCAATTGAATTTTACGATGCGCCGTCGTCAAGGTCGACTGATGCTGAGAGCGCGCGTGTTTCGTAAAGCGTGAAGAATTGTGTAAGAAATGTGGCAAGCAGGCAGGCAGCAAGTGTTGCCAGCTCTCCAGCTTGAGTAGATCTCTCTCTGAAGCTGTTGCACTTTGCATATGGCATTGAAATTTACGACACTTTCAGCGCCAACAGCCAACAGCTATGAGCAGACGCGCGTGAAGAGCGCTTACAATCAACACATATCACACTCATCGTCAACTAGTTGATCATCATTATCATTATCGTTGTCATCATCGCGCTTGCACTTGCCTCAAGGCCCACGCAGCAGCAGCCAAAATTAGTTTCGACTTTGGCGGCAAATGTTTACACATGGCTGAGAAATCCCAGGCAGAGTGAAAGAGAGGGCGCAGCTGAAGAGCTCTTCTCTCTTTGGGTGGGTGTTGCACATAAACTACCAAAATATGTGAGAGACGATGCCGATCTGCAGTTAGAGTTGGGGTTGTAGCTGCGGTTGGGGTTGGGGCTTGGGGCCCATCGCACGCTGTGTGCTGCCGCTTGACAAATGCAACCGCCAACAAAGACGCAGTTGGTGGTGCATTTCTTTGGGCATTTCTTTTA